AGGCAGCACAGGGTATAGCTGCACACATGGCAAGGAGTCTTATTATGCCGCTTTCAGAAAGGGCAGTAAGAGATGCGCTGCCTTCTGGTACTCTGGATGAGCTTATGCAAGATGTTCTCGTTCCACTTCTCATGTTTGGATATGTATTTAGGAAGCAGTTTAAGATTGTTCAAGATACAGTTGAATATATCCAGCATTCTGGAACTACATATAGCACCAACATTCTCTTAGAAAGGTAAGGTTACTGGTATTGTTCATACATGCATTTTAGTATAATCATGCTGAAAAAACAACATTATTATTGGTAATATGCTGTATGTGCTTCAGTATCCTATACAAACGCACACACACATGCACACACACGCATGCGCACGCACACACACACACACACACACACACACACACACACACACACACACACACACACACACACACACACACACACACACACACACACACACACACACACACACACACACACACACACACACACACACACACACACACACACACACACACACACACACACACACACACACACACACACACACACACACACACACACACACACACACACACACACACACACACATACACACTGTTATAGATATAATAGCTATAGTTACCTATATACAATGTTAACATTTACAAATATGATTGCAGTAATTGGGATGCTGACCAAAGAGCCAGAGCAATTACTCTTCGTTTCTTGCTTAGCCTGAATAAAGAAAAATCAAGTGACAGAAGCATTGCTGAAGCAACTGTACAAGGTATCAGGTATCAGTATGCAAAGTGCACAGGGGATCGTCGAGATTTTGGAAACTCACAGTCCCACCGATACAAAACGAGACTTCTCCAAGCCTTCCTCTTGCTCTTGCCTTTACTAGATGAGGTAAAGTAGATTGCAGCAATAATGTTCTTTGATAAATTTGAAATAAAATATAGGTATAAGCTTATTCAAAAGTTACATGTGGCAAAATAGAAGTGTTATCAGACATTGTGCAGTTTGAGACTACATATATTCTCATTTGCATCAATTGCTATATAGGAGGAATGCCTGCTAAGCTTGTCATGGTTGTGCAAAGGCTTGATCAAGGACCACCAGCAGCCAAGTGTTCGTTACATACAAGAGTGGGGCATTGCACTCATCGTAATTTTTCACCCCAATTTCTACCCGCATCTGTTGAAACACTTTTTAGAGGTATGACCAAGTATGTGCTTTATCAGGTGTATATGTAAGTAAGGAGTTAATGCTAATAAAAAATTTATATTTTATTGCTCATAAGACAAGTGTTCGTCTCTTTACTTGGTTAAGGGTTCCAAGGAGCGTGTCGGATGTGTTGGCTCTTTCCTGGCCTCCCTCACACATGTGGCTTGTACCACAGAAGAAGAGGAGGTTCTAAGTCAGGCAATCCAGTACACACTTCCTTGGTGTATGGCACAGCACTTCAATACCAGGCTCTATGCTCAAGTAAGGGCTACATAACAATTAGGCAACATCATCTCTGGAAATATGGACATGCTTGTAATTTGTTATATCGGAATAGTTTAGTTTTGATTTATAGACAGTTATTTCTAAATACTTAAACAATTAATAGTATTAAGAATAAATTGTTACTTTGGAGAGGAGGCATTTAGAAATTAAAGCAAAAACAATCTACAACAAACACTCATGACAGCTGTTTTCATTAGGTCTCTTTGAGGAAGATATGGCATCACTGCCAAGCCATAAATGCAACAGCAGTACTGGATAAGTATGAGCCCATGCAACAGTGTCTACAGTTTGTTGTGGAACAAGGTAGTGCAGCACGTAACACCCTGAATATGCTGAATGATTTTTATTTCAAAGTGTTCCATCCTGTTCAACATTACACCCTGCAGGTACGTAAGTGTGTTTTATCTAAGACAGGTATTATAAAAGTTTGTGAAAGCTTTGGTAAAGATGATATATATTTTTAAAAAGTATAATCTTTATTTATACATACATTTAAACTTATAATTTACCTATTAAATCACTTACAAGATTTTGCACCAAAATCACCAACAGACTATTGTTTATGACCTGCCATGTCTATCACTGCTGGCTAATGATGAATGGCTGACAGTGGACTTCATTATGGGCGCCATAGATTCATCCATTCTTCCTGTGAGAAGTGAGATTCCACTCCACAACATGGACAAGGTTCTGGCTGAGTCTTCCCCAGCTCCTTGGGTGATCAAAGCTGCTGGTGAGTTGTAGGATATTCTCTTTCATGTAGTATTAGGGCAATTTAGAGCAGTTTTATCTGGAATTTACGTACTTACCTTGTGGTGAGCGTTGTTACCGAGAAAAAGAAAATAAGTAATAAAGACATTCTGTATTTCCTCAATACAACTGTAAATATACTAATGAAAGAAAAAAAAGTGTTAAGAAGCAAGAATAACTTCTGTATATCTTACATGAATATAGTTGATAACATTACAAGGTCAGCATAAACATATATTTAGTGCATGAACTGAGCACATTTTTTATTCAAAAAAAAATTCCAGGTGAGACATCGTTCCCAGAGGACAATGAAGTATCTGGCAGCCCTGTGCTTAATGTACAGAGGAAGATAACTCCTTGGAAATCAATGATCTCGGAACTAACTGCCCCTCTTGACTTGCCAGATATGGTAATTCTCATTTGTCTATGTTATCTGTGACAGTGATATATATAGCTTATTAAAACCCTCACTTATGCAGGGATACATACACATAATGACACACACACACACACACACACACACACACACACACACACACACACACACACACACACACACACACACACACACACACACACACCACACACACACACACACACACACACACACACACACACACAAATTCCAAAGTACACAGAACTGTGCACATGCACATGCACATGCACACACACACAGCACAGGCACACACACACAGACACAGACACAGACACACACACACAACACAACACACACACACACACACACACACACGCACACACACGCACACACACGCACACTCACACGCACACTCACACGCACACTCACACTCACACGCACACACACGCACACTCAAGCACACTCACACGCACACATACACACACACACGCACATGCACACATCTGCTTTAATTCCTAACTTTAGTGTCCTGCCTCAGAAGGGGTATAGGCCACCCCTAGGAATACCCATGGCAATACAAATCATTGATATATGTGAAATATAGAAATAAAATATAGAAATAAAAATAAAATCAGAATGGTCAGTGTATGTATACATGTGCTACCAGAATCAGTGGATTAATCATGGTATGGTTGCTAGATTGCATCTTTTGAGAATAATCTAATTGTTGTACTAGTAGAGAATCCTCACATTTTCAGGCACAGCAAAGAAATTTAAACCCAATAGGCAAGGTACGTACTTGTACCTCTAGTTTATGTGCTTTATATATTAAAAAGGAAAAGTGCAGTAGCTTTCTGCTTTTTCAGGCTGAACCAAAGCAACAACGTGGAGGACTGATTCTAGTTGCTTCACTGATTGATAAGCCTCCTAACCTTGGTGGCTTGTGCCGGACCTGTGAAGTTTTTAGTGTGCAAGAGTATGTAGTTCCTTCTCTTGCAGTGCTGGAAGATCAGACTTTCAACTCTCTTTCCTTGACAGCTCAGCAGTGGGTGCCTGTCAAGGAGGTAAGTATATATGATTTTTACCATTGTCATGGCCTTTAATTGTATTTTGTAGAAATGCATTTCATATTTAATTACAATTTCAAAAAATACTATTTGGGATTATGGCTTATCATTATTGAAATAATGGAACAAGAGAGGGCTTCTATAAATATCTTTTATCTTGGATTAACAGGTTAAACCAGATAATATTGCAGAGTACTTGAGAACCCTTCAGAATGAAGGGTACACATTAGTTGCAGCAGAACAAACTGCCAACAGCAAGAAGCTCTCTGAATACAGCTTCCCAGAAAGAACAGCAGTAATTTTAGGGTAAGCATAAATTTTTATTTTTAGATACTGACCCAAATAAAAGTGTTCAGAAAGAAGGCACCAACGGAGTTGGATATAAAACCAATCACAGTAGAGCTATGAATAGTATGATTTATTTTCATCAGTGTGGTTGTTCCTACCAGAAATCAGTACTCAAATAACATGTCTCTCATTTTTCAGAAATGAAAGAGAAGGAATTCCATGTGAACTCCTCCAGCTACTTGATGTCTGTGTAGAGATTCCACAATTTGGCATTATTCGGTCTCTCAATGTCCATGTTTCTGGAGCCCTCTTCATTTGGGAGTACACACGGCAGCACCTCACTAAACCTACCTCTGGTTAAATATTCTTTTATCATTAAATAAATCATTTCTACATGTCATTGTACACATAATTTTAGCCATTTCTATTTATTTTAATTTGACATTTCCCCCCACCCCAAGCAGACCAATTGCAGTGTCATCTGGGACTATATGGGATTTAAATGATCTGCTAATGTGGTTGCTTATACATGAATGTATTTTAATTTTCATGCTCTTTTTGTCATAATCATCCTATTTAAATATAATTTTATTTAATTTTCACAGTGTTTCAATAACAAAATATTTTACAATACCATGATGACAATACACATGTCAATAAATGTGCAAATCACTAAAATTATTTCAAACTTAGTAAATAGGTTGAATATCTCACAAACTGAAGATTAATATATAGACTATATTGTTAGAAACAGGTGTCAGAATGGTTTTATACAGAATTGGGTCTTCTTATACTAGATATCAAAAGACTTTGGTAAATCCACGTAAAAGGTCCTGATACTTTAATGAATTCTAATATTCTTGAGTACCATGCACTATATCAACTAATAGGAATTATCCAATGTGAAAGAACCTAACTGCCATGAACCATATTTAAGGCTGGGTGGTAGTTGATGAGGGTGGTACCACTAGTTATGATTATAATAATTATAATAATGATAATAGGGGGGGAGTAAGAGAGATGGTGACTGCCTTTTGAATATTTATTTAAATAGCAATTTACATACATTGCAAAAAGCCAGTTAAAGTTTTTCGTGCATTTAACCAATCTGGCTTATCTCCCAATGGCTGAATTAAAAAGGCTATAGTTGCATATTAAGTGTATATGCATATAGGGCTGCACTGCATCTCATTTAGTAACATTGATTATGACTAATTGAATTTTAGCCTAATCATATAGAATTACATCTGTGCTATTAATGCAATAATATGATCAGCATTTCTTTTAACTGCTTATCTTACAAGCAATGGCAGTTCACTCAAAGTCATTACTACAGGTTGTAATGAGGTAAACTGCTCTTTTGTCCAAACACTGGTGTAAACTTGAATGATAGTTGTACAATCTGATGCTGCGTCGTGCTCATCATCTGCGGGAGTACTGGCAGGAACAGTAGCAATTGTTGAAACAGGTGCTGAAGCTGGAATTGAAGCCAGAACTGAAGCCATTGATGAAGCAGGTACTGAAACTGAGGCAGGCATTGAAGCAGAGGCTTAAGTCGGTAAGAAGGTTTGAGGGACCTTGTATTACAGGTTGTTTGGCCTGCTGGTTTGGTGAATTCCATCTCATATTTACAGCAAAAAGGTATGGTTCAGCGAGAGAACAACTTGTTTTCTCTGCAGCTTGTCTTTTCCGTCTTGCAGATAGATTGAGCATGAGAAAGACTTTGTGTTTTGCATTATGGTAAAGTATACAACAAACTAATTTCCAAGGCATAAGTTTTTTTGTTCATTCCCTGATAGCATTAGCGACAATAATGACCAATAATGACTATAAGTACATGTGCCTACATTTTGGACCGTTGAAAAAAATAAGGGTGAATTATATAAAGAATGTGAACCAGACGATGGCTTGCCTTCAACAGTTTTACTCCACTGTAGAGGTTATTGAGAGTAAGCATTGTCTGAGATAGTCTGATGGTTGCATTCGTTTGTCGAGCTATGAAAGTTATGGGTTAAGGTTTGAGCAACTTAACTCATTATCGTAACACAAAGTCTAAAATGCTGGAAAGGTATTCCGTGAGTCGCACTGCTTTTCCGTTCGGCGTATGAGAGACCCGTCTCCCCCGTGCACATCATCAGGAACTGCTTCGCCAGCCAGTTGCCACGGCAAAGTCGCCACTCGACGTGGCGTTGAGTTTTGCCATACTAGCTCCAGGAAGGCCAGAGCGGAGGACAGGTCAAAGGAGGTTGCCATTTCTTGGAACAAGAGAATGGTCCTTCACCAAAATGTTACTCACACTCAACTCTCATTTTCTTCAAGATTTTCTTGGCAAGTGATCAGTATAAACACCACACAGATTCCAAATGTAAACTGCGCAATTACCCAGTAAAAATGCTTTCTCACGTCCATGGTAAGTCACACATTTTGATTCCTATAATATTGCATAGAGATATAGAATTGTCAATATAAGAGATGTTATTTTTTTTAACTGTTTTTATACGTACTGTTTCTCGATATCTTTGACGGTCTCCACTTCTATAACACAAACACAAACACAGCACTTGTAATCACACGATTTCATAGGTGATCAAAGAGGTATCACCGCACCACAGTCAACAACGACCACATTGGCTTTCTCTTGAAATTGGGCCTTTGCTGCGGACATGAGCACTTCTAAGCCATTTTCGACATAGCCAAAGACCTTATCAACTTCAACGTTAGGTCGACCACTTCCTATAACGACGGAAAATTGCGTACTGTTTCCTGGGCCATACTGCCTCACAACCCCAGCGCGCTCCGGCACTTTCTCCTTGGGGTTTCCATCTGGTGCTATGATCGCCTTTCCCTTTTTACCATCGTAATCTCCTCCCAGTATACACTCTTGTTGATAGCCCCTATAACCATCACTAAACATTCCTGTATTGGCGAAGGAGGGTCCCGTCTCCCCCGTGCACATCATAAGGAACTGCTTCGCCAGCCAGTTGTCACGGCAGAGTCGTATTTGCACTCGGCGTGGCGGTGAGTTTTGCCATACTAGCTCCAGGAAAACCTGAGTGGAGGACAAGTCAAAGGAGGTTGCCATTTCTTGGAACTGAAACGAAGAGAGATGATGATAATAATGTCAGCCACACAAGTCAGTATAGTGACCTAGGCCACATTAGTCATAACAGAGATAATGATGATTCTGTTACGATCACTATCGTCATTAATAATAATGATAATGATAATAAGCATTGATTTTGACGAGCAGTTAACTCACCGGGATCGTGTGGGCGCTGGCCGGAGGACGCGCGTCTTTCAGGTGATGGACGTAGATCTCGTTGCCGATTCGGCTGATCTTGGCAGAGCGAGGGCATCGGCGGTGATTCTTCACCGCGAATACTTCACCAGCGTTCAAGAGGTCTTTCACTGGGCCGTCTTTCTGCAGGACGCGGCCAACCTGTCCGTTTGGGATCGTTTGTTCAGGTGTTTTCACGGTTACTTTTAATCATGAACGATATATTAGGTTGAATGGGCAGGTTATATTTAATAAAATTATGATGCAAAATGTGTAACATTTTGCTGGAGAACTGGAGATCTATGACTGATTGTTGCAATTAATAAATATTATACATGGAGAGTCTTGAAAATGGAATCAAAAGACATGCACATTTATACTGCATGCTCTTACGTTTATATCGGTTTTATTTCACGTTAAATGGCAAGATATCTAAATAAAGAAACTTACTGTCAGCTTTGATAACAGAGTATTTATTATGCGTTCGACTTTCTTAGGGATAGACAGCGAAGGATCTGTCATGACCTCATGGGCACTCGACACACTGCTTCTTGCGCCATCACTAGTGGCCAGTACGTCGTCATTGGAGGTCTCTTCACAGGTCATGCCTTCGCTTATTATATTCAGGGTTTCCTTAAGGGCTGCACGCGTCTATTGTGTAAAAAAATAAAAATTGAGCAAAAAATAATGCATCATCCATAACCTGATAGTTTCATCATGGTATCACCTATCGACATTTCTTTCAGAAGCAGTGCTCACTTTGGCAGACTTCTGGATAACGCTGACATTGGGAAACGCCTCGTTACATCGCTGAATCCAGTCTTCGGCCACAAGTCTTACTTGCTCGGCCGTGTCCACGATAGCCATCAGCTCCTGCATTGTCCCGGCTGTATCAAGTGATGTTGCTGCTCCGTCCAGTAGTATTTGGTGTTCCCGTCCCTCGTGCTGGTGTTCTTTTACTAATCTTTTCTCTTCTTCCAACATTAGTTTAATAATCTTCTGTTTCTCCAGCACGTCGCGAAGTTTGGCATCAAGTTCCCCATGTTGGCACTCCCAAACGTAAAGGCTAGTGGCATAATCCTCTAGTTGAGACAGCTTGGCCTTAAAACCGAATCTGAAGTTGCGAAGGGATGCCTCTTGTTCTTCCCTCACTTCAACAATTTTCCTCCCCAATCTCTTCCACGGAGGTTGTCCTGCAGCCGGCCTCTTGTTCCCACCGCCTGCATTGAGGCAAAATTTCTTAATGAAATCTTCCAAGACGAACACAACCGGGAAGTCGTCGACGTTCGAGGCGCTATGCTGGACGCGGCAATTGGGACAGTTCACTGAGCCGTTCTGGAGAAGGTTCGCGATGCAGAGCGAACAGAAGGTGTGGCCGCAGGGTAAGATCCGAGGCCTTCTATTGTTACCATCAAACATTACAAGGCAAATTTCGCACTCCTCGGCCTTTGACGCCTGTTGTAGGTCAAGAGAAGAAAATAATCATTATTTTTTTTTTTTTGTCTTTTTCAATATTTACTCTTTTGTAAAAAGGGTGTTTGATATAAGCGATATCTAAACGACTAAGAAATATCCAAATGGTGCTTACCATGTTGCTTGCTGTCTTCTAAGATGCAGAGATAACTGCCGATAATGTTTATCTCAGGCAGTAGAGACAATTCTGTTGGAAAATCATTTAAAACATGAATATAACAGTGAGCAAAGAACAGTCCAATACACTCACATACCTTTATCTCTGTATGTGTGTGTGTGTATATATAATATATATATATATATATATATATATATATATATATATATATATATATATATATATATAGAGAGAGAGAGAGAGAGAGAGAGAGAGAGAGAGAGCGATAGATAGATACACACATATATATATATATAATGCATATGTGTATATTTAGACACACACACGCACACACACACACACACACACACACACACACACACACACACACACACACACACACACACACACACACACACACACACACACACACACACACATATATATATATATATATATATATATATATATATATGTGTGTGTGTGTGTGTGTGTGTGTGTATGATGTGTGTGTGTGTGTGTGTGTGTGTGTCTAAACATACCACATATGCATATATATATTTGTAACTATCTATCGCTCTCTCTCTCTCTCTCTCTCTCTCTCTCTCTCTCTCTCTCTCTCTATATATATATATATATATATTATATATATATACATAGAGAGAGAGAGAGAGAGAGAGAGAGAGAGAGAGAGAGAGAGAGAGAGAGAGAGAGAGAGAGAGAGAGAGAGAGACAGAGAGAGAGAGAGAGAGAGAGAGAGAGAGAGAGAGACAGAGAGACAGATAGATATTGGGGGAAGGATAAATGGACCACCATTCTTGCAGTATGAAAAAGCTGAAACCTCTATAGTTATTGAAGCACATTCTACATCCTTCGCAAGTCGGGAATGGCGGTGCTGAGAAGGGAGGCTCTAAGGAATTCCGTCAGCTTCACCTCAACTTTGGGAATTGCTTTATTGTTATCCTTGTTTTTTTTTCTGAATAATGTAAATATTAGTGAGGATGTTTGGTTAATCTGGTCTTTGAAGATTTCAAACGTATCGAAGTCGAAATGCTTGCCATGTTTTTTCTTGGTAATTTAATGTCTCGGTAATTTAATGTCTCACAGAGTGAGAAAAAAAGACCCTTAGGACCGGATTCTCAGAGTGCCGCAAAGCCAAGATGAACAGGTGGCACTACAGCTATTTAAATGGCGGCAAGGTTAAGCGCCATATCCCGGACTTGAAGGTAAGGCGCCATATCCCGGACTTGGTTTCGTATACACAAACGTTTCTTCCTGGGACGTTTCTCCACCGTAAGACCCTGCCACGCCGCAAATCACTTCGGATCGTCATTGGCTAATCACACCTCCTGTTTTAGGCGGCTCATAGAGAATCTCGGCTAACCATGAGCCATGAACACTTAACAGCTACTTGTGATATTTAGGGACAAAATATTGTCTCCTGAAAAGCGTGACATATAACGAGCAATTTTAGCAGGCTTTGGCATTTATACACCTTGGTTGTTTAGTGGTTAGCAACATTATGATGCTTGTGAGTAAATTACGATGTTATATGTGTAGATGTAAAGTGTTGCCTTGTTTATTTCAGAATCATTTGGATGCTGTGGAGAATACTGGGGTTAAATACTACTTCATACCACACCTGTGGGAAATTTCCAATACTAACCATTCACAAATGGCCTCCATCATATACAACACTCCACAAGACCTGTTACTTATATTGGAGGACCGCTCAGACATTCAACGATCTCCAAGCGTTGATTTGCATAGGAATGGCATGGCGTTTATGTTCTGCCTCCTCTCTTCCACTAATACAAGTGTACTTTCAAACATATGAAGTAAATAACATAGTAAAAACAGTTCCACCACTCTTTATTTATCAAAATTTGAAGTCTTACATACCAAATCCCAAAAAAGACACAAAATATTAAGGGCAAAATAATCAACAATCCATTTGATTAGAAATAAGGAGAGAGAAGACCAATACACGCGTCTCTCTCATGCGTGCATCTTTCGAAAGTTGCATATTCAAAAACTGTAAATAATTAACCTTTCCTCTTAACAATCTTCTTCATAATATTAAATTGATGATTTATAATTCACAACAAATTAGGCATATAGTTTCATCACTGATCGCTCTTATTATCTTAGTTGTAATTAACGGTAATGTTAGAATTTATGTAGCGTCATGTTTACAAATACAACAGGTTGGGGCTTAACTCGCCGATTGCAATATCACACTTGCTGCGTTCACGACTGAGTCACGTATGCCTGATAACATTATAACTAAACTAATTAACATCTTGTAAGGTACAGGAGTAATTGTCCTAAAATCGAAAAAGGTAATTTATATAGTTCACCGTAACACGTTAGAGTTGCTGTCTCCCCTGCCTTACCCTACTGAGCCTTGACTCGTACTAAACATGTCAGCAAGGTCTATTAATACTTATATAGACCTTGCGTTCGACGGCAAGATACGCGTTTGAATATTCAGCCCTTAAGTACAACTGAAATCAGTCAAGCCGCCACTATTGAGAAATCAAAATTGCGACCTGTGAGACTGGTGTACGAGCGAACCGTCACACCACGAAAAGCATCAACATGCACCACAAATGGCTGCAATGGCGGACAGATAAGACATGAGATATCTAACGCATTTTTTAAAATAAATTCTAAGCCAGTCAAATATCAAAAACTTCACAAGTGCCTAGGTCTGCTATTCAAATTATATATAATTTCAATTCGATATGCACCAATATACCATACGCAGGATAGTCGTACACTATATTGGCTGATATATTGTTAAAGTAGTATATTACCTCTTTCTAGGATCTCTAAAATGAAAATGGAATAGGTACCGTAACAAAAACTGTAGTACAGGAAAAGAAATATTTCTTTTTCCAATGCTAGCTGTACCTTTTTTTCGATAATGTCTGCCTTCCTCTCCTTTCGTCCTGTGGCCTTGAACGTAGTCTGACGGCGCAGAATTCACTGACGAAGTCGTTTTACTTATCTTATCTTTGAGCTGTCCGCCGTGCTCCACAAATTTATATATTTTCAATGACACGTTTTCTGATAATTCTATTTGAAAGAGATGCGATGGGTTTTATCGTCAGCATCACATGGCCTCTTTTCTAATAATCTCTTCACATAAAACATTTATGCATATATATATATATATATATATATATATATATATATATATATATATATATATTATCACTACAGAAAATTGTCCACTCTTATCACTATCATGGCACCTGCAAGGCGAATGCCATTTACCCTTTTCATGCACAAATACTTTGCCCAGACATGGTACTTCCGACAGATAGAACAATGTATGGTTTAGCTGCCTGGCTAAAATAAGCTTTGGAAATATGCAACATGGAACTGAATTACAAGGAATTATCTGTTCAACATTTGCGACGTCTTATTAAAGACACTTTACACACACACAGACAGTGTGAAGCTTGTGAGGCAAAGCCTAATAAGGAAACCCACAGGCGGATGTTGGGTCTCGCAGCCTGCCGCCCTCCTTTATATGGGGATGACTGCCCGAGGACAAACCTCAGGCGGGATGTTAGAGTGGGGGCTTGGAACGTCCGCTCTTTGCGGCAGGATGATCGGTTGCCTCTACTGTCGAGAGAACTGGGAAGGCTGAGAGTGAATGTGGCTGCTCTCTTGGAGGTGAGAAGACCTAGCAGCGGCGCGGTTAATGTGAGTGGCTACACCTATTACTGGCCGGGCCGCAGCGAGGGTCACCATCTTCAGGGAGTAGCCATGAGCATCTCCAACAGACTTCAGCCCTCGGTAGTAGAGGTTATTCCCGCCAATGAGCGTATAATGGTAGTGAGACTGAAGCTTGCATTTAGCTTCACGCCTCCTATTGTTGTGTACGCCCCTACTGATGTTTGTAAACTCGACGTGAAAGAGGTGATCTACGCTAAACTTGCATCTGTGTCGGTCAGTTGTCCTTGGCGAGATATTCGTAATGTTCTGGGTGACTTCAATGCGGCATGTGGCTGCAATCGAGCTGGCTATGAGATGTGTGTCAGTCCCCATGGTTCGGGAGCTAATGCCAGTA